GGACATATAAGGGCATCACAGACCTATTGTTGCCTCAAACTCGTGTTAGTCACACAGTCCCTCTAAGTTGCCCATGTCACCGAGGTTGCCAGACGCTTTCGACAGTGCAACGGAGAAGCTTCAACGTCACTGGGCACAACCCTACGTATCAATCAGCGGTAACGCTCCTCGTGCGGGGTTGTGCAGGGTACTTGCCAATTGTGCGGCCGAACCGCAAAAGCCAACGCATGCCAACCGACACAATCATTGCTGGTCTGACCAAGTAAAGTATCTAACAAACAGATGCTGTTGGTAGTGACCCTATTACCCGCTCCGACCCTGGATTCGCAGCTCCTGATCTGCCCTTCTGTTTGCACATTTGCTGAGCCATCGCCAACAAAAATCAACCAAGACTGACAAAGCCAGACTACATCCATCAACCTCCGATCGCTGCCCTTACTACCGGGCAGACTTCGGGAGAGTACTCTTAATGAGAATCTGAAGTCTGCAGCAAGCGGCGAAGGCAAAGGGACTTCTGATTGAGAAGTCGATATGACGCGCCTGCTTCTGTTGCAAATGATCTCTTGATCCAGCCGCGGCAGCTGAAGCCGGTAAGGGCGTCGGTCTTCAGTTGCTTCAATTTGTTTCCAAAGCTCAGACACCACCTTCCTGGGGATGTCGGACAGACATCAAGCCGTTTCGAAACAGCACAAACCGAGACCAGCTGCGTGCAGAAAAGGTTGCTTCACACGAGACGAGCTTGCCTCCAACAAATCCTGAACGCACGCATTGTCTACAAGACCCGAAGAAGCCCAGGAGTATCTTCTAGAGATCTGCTCTCGGAGGTCTTGATGAGCCTTTCAGCACCTAGATGGCCCTAGCACAGTCGAAGCTTCCTTGCAGCCTTCTTAAACTGAATGGGATTCCGTGTATACAGCTTCGTCATGCATTGCGGATCCCCTCTGCTCGCTACACACCCTCGGCAGCGGGTCAGTGAGGATTGCATGGTGATAAGATTCGAGACAACGCTGCCCCCCATGCTGCAGGATCTGCCTTGAGGGTGATGAGAGAGGAGTGCCCAAAGAACAGCGTCGCAGTCTCGGAACCAATAAGCAACAAAAACTTCAGATCGTAAACTAGCATGCTCGCATCTTAGAGGTGGACCATCACTAGGAGCAGGAAGGATCCTTTCCAGCTTACGTCCATAATGCAAAAAAACACTGCGCACACTCCAGACGTCAACAGTGCCAAGCCACGGTAATTGCCTATTCCCACGCAGTTGCCTGACAAAACATGCTTGACGCACAACTCGACAGTACTGACGAACTCACTTTGAGGCAGCTTGCCTAGCCATGTGCAGTGATGATCGAAACGGAAGACCTTGGCTGGCTCCGACCTTAAGCCTCCTCACGCGGCATTGCATCCGAACCAACAGTCCGGCTACAAACTGCAGCTTAGTGGCACAGCGATCGCAGTAGGAACAATGTTTGGAGCGCAGGGGTCTGTAAACCCTGGCATAGGCTTGGCTGCCCTCCGCTGCCCCATCTGCTCTCACCCTTTTCTGATCGCACCTGCATGTGCTGCACCACCTCTGTTTTACCTGCACGCCGTTCACCATGACCAACCTCCAACAGCAGCTTGTGCGGAATCCGACTCTGGTTTTGACGGTTCACCGATCCTGGCTGGACACGAAGACGGAGCGGTGTCCGGAGCTCGTGGAACCTTGCGCTCTCTGAGAATCCACAGAAGCAGCATGATGAAAACAAAGCTTCAGGTTCGCGGCAACACCGGGGTTCCTGTCAGCTTGACAGTTGCACACGTACATGTCACCTCTTGTGCTCGTCCTGCAGGCAGCTGCACCAAGCGAGAAGACACCTCAGATGATGTGTTGGATTGGCGGCTAGATACGCAATGCATTTGGCGCGAGAATCTCACAGTCTTTAGAGCTGGTGTTTCTGGATGCGTTTGGCTACTCTCTCGTACTAGCAAGACCACTCAATGACCTCATGTCATCCCGAAATGTGGGTCGCGTGCTCATTTGCTGAACTCCTTGCTGAAGGTCCGTTGGCAGCTCAAGTGTGTAGAACATATACTGACATACAGCTGGACGAACTATCTCATACAAAGCAAGCCCGAGACCAAGACACGTTGAGACTCACCTCTCATCATCAGCCCTCAAACAGCTCAAACTGATTCCAGACATATACAAGAAGATTGGCCTCTCACATTCAACTTTCAATGCCACCCTCGTCTGCTGAAGAAGACAATCTTGATTACAACTTCTAAACCAACCAAAACAGGATGACTGCGACAAACAAGATGTGCAAGACATTGACCTCTTCACAGCTTTCCTCAGTTGCACCGCTCTGGAGGAAAGCAATCTCTCTTTTCTTCGGAGTGGCTCAAAGCAGCCCAAACAGCGCAAATTACCTGGCAATTCGGGTCCAACTTGCCACCATTAACACTTCAAGAAACAAGTCGAGCTGCACCGTGGAGGCACCTGCTGCTGCCTCAGGGCATGTCAACACACATGTCAAAGCTTGGCTGTCAACTGCACGGCGCGGCAGGTTGGGCCTTATCGCAACCAGTAGGCAGCACATGGCCCAAAAAATACCTGGCTTTTTTGAGAGCCTGTTGTTCAGTTAACACATCACATCTGCAGAAAGCAAAGATGCGTTGGGCTCTGCAGGGCTCACAGGCCAGGAATGATGGTGCAAAGAACAGTCCTGCACTGTTGCAGCTAAACTTAAACCCTCGCTCCGGCAAATTCACCCTTTGAGCGCATTCGTTTCGTCTCCTTCTCAGACTGGCCACATCGGGACCTCAGCGTGAAAGCCCTATGCACTTCAACTACTGGAGCATATCCTGGCTGCGCATCCTTCACGCCCAACGGTATAAAAGGCTCCAAGCGTTCCAACTGCGCATAAAAGAGCATGCTTGGATTTCATATGGGGCCACATTCACAGTGGATGCGTGCACAGCCTCGAAATTCCGCTCTGATCCATAAGCAAAAAAGTCAACTTAACTCCGTATCATTCTGTGCAAAATCTCAACTTCGCTCAGGATCACACCGTTTTACCAACAGAAGCGTGTTTTGGGGGGCACTTCTGCAAGGCGAGAATATGTGTATAGGAGCCAAAGACTGTGATCCGAACAGACGAAGCGCGGCTGGCGCGACAGTACCTGCCCGCGCACCAAGATTTCCAGAGGTGCTTGGAACCTTGATCCAGAACCCTTTCAAGTTTCAAGCAGAACTATCTCCACCGCTCTGGGCCGCAATTTGGTCAGTAGCATCTTGCAAGGGGTAAACATTGGTGCTGCAAGGTCAGGGTCCAGCTTGCATAGCTACTGCCAAGCCCAAGCAAAAGCGGGAAAGTCTAGAGATCTTGGCTACACTGCATTTGCAGCTACAACCTTGCAGAGAATCCTGTTTCAAGCCAAAGCTTGTGTGAGATGCGTTCTGAAGCTTGAATCCTATGCCTCTTGGACAGACGATGGTTCCAGCCAGTCTCTGACTTCAAGGTCGGCCTGTAGAGGACAGCATGCTGCCAGCCGCTGCCAGCTTGGAGGAACACAACACCAAAACTACCTGCCTGGATAAGCGGCAGCTTTGCCATGAGCACATGGGTCAAAGTGGCAAGGCTGCTGCCAACAACAGCCAACAAGCCTGAGTCTGGAGATTTAGCATGACGGGCCTTATGAGAAATCATCTACGGAACAGAAGTGTCTAAAACCCAAACAAGTCAGATTTGATTTGCTAAAGTTACAAGTTGAGTGTTGTTCTGGTGTGCATTCCTGAGTTCCAACTCGTCTTCTTGCTGAAATCATCAAGATTAGCGTTGATGAGCCGCAGCTGCGGAGCAACCTGGCATCTCCAAAATTCTGCCTGGTCTGAAGATGGCGTCGAACTCGGGAACATGTCATCGTGCACGAATTTCCTTTCTGGGTGCGGATCTAACATGATCTGTGGAAGGCTTTGTCCCATCGTTCAAGCAGAGCACCTATCCAGCAGTATCCAGCACCTTGAAGGGCTCACTTCAAGAACACCTCGCCGAAGCCAACAGTCAACGGAGGTTGATTCCGACATCAATGATGGTGGTACTAAAACCGAATGCAGAGCAAGCAAATTTGCCACAGTGCATTCAAAAAAGTCAGAGTGAACTGCCACAAAATGGCAAGATGGTCTGCAGACAGCATGATCACAGTTGAGGTGCAGGGTGCACTTAACAAACCCGGCCTGCCGTAAACCGAAGGTATCTTCTTGGAAGGGACCTGCACAGACTTGTTGTTTCCAGATCAAGTGGCACAGAGCCCCACTTTCTGTGGCCTAAGCGTGGGCGCCGGGGCAGATCTTTAACCTGAAAAAGCACGTTGAAGCAGCCATGGGCTGTCACCGGTTCACTTAGACCTTTTGAATCCTGATTGTGCAAGACAGATCCCAGCTTTGATATCTTTGCCAGGCTTTGGACGCAGGCGTAAACTCACAGCATTTCACTGCAGCTGCTGACCCGCCTGCATCACAAGTCTGGCATCTGTGAAGATCCAGTCTCTGAGCACCTGCACGGAAGAAAACTGGAATAAAGTTCTGAGGTTGCACATGTTTGAGACACCTGTCCAGCGGCAAGATCCAGTGACCAGGCCTGATGACAATTTTGCCAAACCAAAGCTTGAATCTAGGACCCATCGCATACATCAACTGAGCGTGTAGGCAGGTATTTCAACATCGCGGTCTTCCGTCGCACTGCCAGCTGTCATGTCTGGAACCTGGCACCAGAAGGACAGAACATGACTGCCTCAAATGATACAAGGACACTCTTCGTGAGAACTATTTGCCAAGGCCATTCTGGGCAGCTATCAGGAGCAAACACCATCGCAGACTCTTTAGGGCAACATTTTGAGTCAAGAGCTCCCCAATTTCAAGACTTGGTGGAAAAATGGGTGCTAGTCGCTGGCCTCTGAACATGCAAAGACTGCAAGGCCCAAAACCTGGCCGATCTTGGACAGAACAGAACGACATGATACAGCAGAATTGCGTCATCTTTCGGGGATAGACCGAGGCTTAATTATTTTGACTGTAGCGGCACGGGAATTTCCGGATTTTTCACATCAGCTTTTTGAGGCTGAACTTTTGCTTTCAAGCGATGCCCTCCTTTTTCACTGTCCGTCTGCATGCTGTTCCATAAAACATCTACCGAAGTCCACCAGCACAAAAAATGGATTTAATAAGCAGATGAATACAAACACAGCATAGGCCTAGGTGGGTATGCGACAGTATATGGTGCTGTACAATGATATACAAATAGATGACGTCTGCAGCATAAAGGTCACTTTTCCCATTTTGCAACATCCAAAGTTGCTTTCCTGAACAGGATTGCAGACTTCCTAAGACAACCTTCCAAGATTTCGCAATGTCGCTTTGCACAGGGCAGGCTTGGACCAAAGCAATATGGACGACGGCGCTCTCGAAACAGAATCAGCTGGCTCGAAACTTCTGGTTTGCTTCCTTGTGCTGGGAATCTCCGGTGCTGACAACTTGTATGTGCCCTGTGCTGTCGCGCAGTCCTGCGCGACTTGAAAAACACAACAACTGAGACAAGATGCCACTGGCATCAGCTCTGTGCAAAAGCTGCACATACAAGCGTCTTTTACGGGACCCTCCGTGGCGGCTCGCACGCCGGCCGTGAAAACTGGAGGGAGATCGAGGAAGAGAAACCCACTTGCTGCTGATGTGTCACATCAGTTTTCCTATTGAAAGGTGGGCGTGCAAACAAAACCTGCAAGGCGCTTATTGACACTGTTCAACACACAGCCACGAAGAATTCAGCAGAGCACTGCAAGGGCCTTTGCCAAGCCACTGATGGTGTTTGAAACAACGAGGGCTTTGTAGCCCGCATTGAAAGCATTGGTAGCCTTGTGCAAGCTTATCAAGGTTGCTGGCAGTTAGTGAAGACATGACGTCACACAGCCACCTTCTCGCGAAAGGTGCAAAGGCCCCGTTCAACCAGGAGAGCAAGGCTTTCTACCTTTACGCGCAAGCTGGAGCTGAGACACAAGGTATAGAGAGCTTTACACACTGAGCCTGTGGTGTGGCAGCCAACTCGGCACAGCCCAAACTCCTGAAATGTCAGTCTAGCAGTGCTACAAGGCTGCTGCTGCAAAAGCCCATGCGCTGCAGCTATGTTGGGCAACGTCCTCGTCTCGTTCGTGGCACCAGGCTCCATTACAACCTACTGAGAGAGCATGCCCCGTTTGCTGACTACTGTAATGTTCTCATATCACGTGCCGAGTAAGCTCTGGCTCGCTGCAGTGGTCCCCTTACTTGGTCTCCAGCACGCCCGTAGAAGGCTGGCTGGACATTGTCCGCCTCCCTGCTCAAGTCAGTCCACGTGCAAACACTGCAGGTGCACTTCCACGGCTGCCTGTCTAAAGGAGCTCTGCTGGACAGCTTCGGAAGCCCGAAGTTCGGCAGAAACACATTCCACGAGGCTGGAATCCTACGCCGGCCGAGCAGAAGAGATGAGTCTGCCACAAAGCTGAAGTGAGGGCGTTGCGCCGAAAACGTTTGAACTTGCTGATCCCCTGTGACCTGCGAAGCTGGATGCAGAAAAGCCGAGGAATCAATTGAGCGCTGCATCTGGCCAGAACCGTCGAGTGAGCAGCGGCAGCAGCCAAACAGCTGCACAACGCCTGATGATTACTCCCAATGTGTTGCGAATCTCTAATTTGGCTTGCAACGGCCGGCCGAGGCCCCATGGCAGGTCCCACACGTGGCGAGCCACAGCACCCATCCCGAATCCCGAGCGCTATCCCCCCCGTTCCAACAACAAAATAAAAAGAACTCCTCTTCTTGGCACACCGGGAAAGCATCATCTCCAAACATCTCCAAATTCTGACTCTGCTCTTCCGTAGGCTTGTTCGCAAGGCTTTTGATGATTACGCAGCATGGACATCACTGTTGCTTCTGTTTTGCTTTGCGTGCAGTTGTGTACTACATGTCTTCCCGCTCCAGTTTCATTTCATTCCGTTCCTGCGGTGCAGTCCGTGAGATTCCTTTTTGTTGGGCGTTCAATGTTTCGTTGCGGTCCGCAGATTCCTGTTCGTCTTTGCGCTTTTTGCTCCGTTCTGTATTCCTTGCGTCCCCGGTCCTTTCTCAGATATGTTTTTCTCCTCGAAGGACTGTCAGGGCCAAGGCGACAAAACCAACGTGAGCGGCGAGCGCTCCAAAGCCGACAGAGAGTGTGAACATGTAAACTTCTTGACTTGAAAATGATGGTCAAGTTGAGTGCCTGGCAAGTTGAGTTAGGGCGTGCACACTCAGACACAAGTGTCAATGGTTAGCGGCGCTCCCGACAACTCAGCCCGACGCTAGCACGTGAGCTGGCCTTTGCACCATGCTTTTGAGCCAGACGCTGCAGCCTGACATTATCTGAAATTGGTCGCTGAGTCGCAATAGTCCCCGGCACCATGATGCATAATATACACAACTAGACTTACTGCGTGCGCGTCTGTAAGGAATCATGCTTCACACGTGGACTCAATAGCCTTTAAGTTGCTTAGTCCTAAAACCGATAGGAGCCACGAACCCGAATGCAGACACGTGTCACGTACATGCAATGATAATAATACCCTACCAGCGAAACCACTTAGGCAACATTGGTCCGGGGTCATCCCTTTCTCCTCTTTCTCCTCCTCTCTCTTTTCTCCTCTCTCTTTCTCTTCCTCTCTCTTTTCTCCTCTCTCTTCTCTCTCCTCTCCTCTCTCTCCTC